CTAGAGCATAATCCCTTCTCCTGTGTGTCTCCTATGTGCCTTCCATGTGTCTCCCCTGTGTCTCCCCTTTGTCTCCCCATATGTGTGGATAAGGGGGGTCATATTTATAGAGTGGCTAAGCCACTCCCTTCAGTCCCTTAGACAAAATGGAGGGAAAGTATAAACACAAAACCATCCTTCCAGTATAGACAGTGTGGTTCAGTGGCACTGTTTCAGATAATTATCTGACAAAAACTTTACTCAAGTTGATTTAAAAAGAACTACATGTCGCCATTCTTTTACAATACAATACAATATGTAATATTCTTGATTGGACACACTAGGAATTTGTCTCCGGTGCATAAACTCTTTAGCCTCCAGCTCCAGTCCCCCTGATGATCTTGCCAAGTTGCTCCACGTAGACTGGAAACAGATTAGTTCTTAGAAGATTCCTTATAAGTGTGTATAAGAGCAACTATTATCAAGCAATGCCCTCTGCAGTCTATCAAAGATGCAAGAAATGAATATCTGCAAAATGGGGGCTTCTGCTTCCAACTCTCATAGAATCCAGAAAGATATCTTGGTAAATGGTACTGAAAGCAGCTGAGAATCAGGAACAACATGGTTACCTAAATATCATCTATTAGGAAGATCAAGGCATTTTCCCAAACCCATAGCCCACTCTGAAATGAGTCCATTGAATATATTTCCTCCAAGATTGCCTGCAGCTGAGCAGTCAGTACCTTATTGGTTGATCTAACCATGTAAGATTGGAGACAATTGACAACTGCCCATCTCCCAAGATTCAATAGAGCCTTTTGAAGAAAAGATCTAGTTTTTGTCTCCTTTAAATAAGATAACATCTTATCTTTGCTTTGAAAAACATTTATTATACTTACTAAGGTATCTATAACACCATACAGGTAAAACTTATAAGCAAAGCTGGGCAGGGATCCAGATAATAGCAATAACACTTAGACTTATATACCCCTTTACAGTGCTTTACAGCTCTCTCTAAGCGATTTACAGTCAGCATATTGCCCCCAACAATTTGGGTTCTCATTTTACCCACCTTAGAAGGATGGAAGGCCGAGTCAACCTTGAGCCTGGTGAGATTTGTACTGCCAAATTGCAGCAGCTGGCAGTTAGCACAAGTAACTTGCAGTACTGCATTCTAACCACTGTGCCATTGAGATATTAAATGATAAAATGTTCTGTTTCTTGGATGTCAGAGACTGAAACTGATATACTGTAGGCTAATTATGTGAGAGATTTTATCAGACAACTTGATAATTGAGTCTGCACCACAATAGTGGCATCCAGATTGGACTGAACATGAGAAAATGTTATTATAAGTCTCTGAAAACCACATAATTGAAGAGGATTCTGTAATTGAAGCAAGCAGGAATAAAAGCCAATGTCTTTACAGTGACATATAGTAACACATTTTAAGCTTGTGAATGTAATGCATGCAAAAAAAAAAAAAAGGTTACTGAGGTCTGTCCTTGTTACATGTGAAATCAAAGCTCAACGTTTTAAAAAGTCCAATTGTATTCTGTATTTCCCAACAAGCATCCAGTACTTCTAGATCTGAAATTCACCTACAAATGATCTGCCTCCTGCCAGAACAAAAATTGAAAACAAAGAGGTGACCTGCATCATGTGTTGACCTATGACCATTTTTGAAATAGATTTGTAGTTTTATATCTGAAAATAAGAATATGTTTGTACTATTCCAGATAACTAGCCTCAGTGTAGATATTAAAATTCACCCAGCACCTTGTTGTCAGCTCCAAGACCACATCTATTGGGTCAGCCATAGTATATACAATGGCAAACCATTTCTTGCCATCTTGCCAAGAATATTGAACTATCCATACAGTTGCCAAAAGCCAAGACTGACTCACCTGCAAAAAAAGGTGATACAGTATTTCCAATTGATCCTAAGGTTGAGGTACACATATTTGTTATGAATCAATTCTGTCCCAGATATCTTGATAAAGAAAATATTTTGGCTCAAGTCATGTCATCGTCTCACCTCTGGCATAATCAGAGTACCTGATTATGCAAAGCTGGATATATTTTCCTGTGTTTGGTCTTTGATCTTCTTTATCCTACATCAAACCATTAATGTGTTCTGCATCCATTAGTAGAAAAGCAGGTGAATGTAACTTTAAAAAAATATCCTCAAACATCTTCAGTAAATGAAAATGGAACCATTAATTTTTCATTAGAACTGCAAACAATAATTTAAATTATCATAATGTAAGAATTCCATGAAAGTGTGGACATAGCAGCCCTTGCTTTAATATTCTCTGGAGATGATGCCAGTCAGTCAATAGAAAAATTGAAAGTTTGTTATACTTTTCACTTGCCAAAGAAAAGCGAATTAATCAATTATCTTGGTACTTAAAAGCCCTGGAGCGATGCACTTCGCTCTTCCCCTTCTCTACACAAGTGAATAAACATCCATTGTCAATTTCTGAATACAGTGCTCTGTTTCATTTATTATCTGAGTACTCAACTCTGGAAAGCTGGATATTTTATCTATGCCTGAAATGAAGGAATATTGATTAAAATAAAAGTTTGGGTAGAATTTTGTTCATTCATACTTTCCCTGAAGTTGTAAAAATGTTCCAAACAACAAAATTAGGAAGAAAAAAAGAGTGAGACCATAAATTTGATTGCAGAATTGAATAACTTCTTAGTTTTCAAATAATGAGGACAATTCTCAACTCAGTTGTTAAAAAAACAGCAATTCAAACATATATAAACTCAAAAATTAATGAAGTAAGCAGTAGTTTTGGAACATTTAGGGGGCTATTTTACTAGCATTGTTCACCCCCCCCAAGCATCAACACAATTAATAATTGCAGGGTAGACATGCTTTACGATCAAATATCCTCATCATTCAGCTATTAAAATATAGAAGCATTGCAAGGTCTGCTGTCTCTGGAGCATATGAGGCATTCTTAATTGTATTTTCTCAGGCTAAGTATTGAATAATGTTACTGAAACTGTGGAGAATGATCCAGAAGTACCTGGACAGACACTCCAAAGCAAGATTTGTCCCATCAAAAAGGAAGATACACACACATACAAATACATACATACTAGGGAGAGGGAGGGAGGGAGGGAGGGAGAGGGAGGGGGAGAGAGAGGGGGGAGGAGAGAGAGAGCCCATTGACTTGAGAGAGACAAATCTGTTGTATAAGTGAAAAAAGTCAACCAATTTTCCTCCTGTTTGGGACTGGATTTGTTATATTTTGGCTATGGAATCAACAATGGTATAAGACAGAAGGTCAATCTTTTTGGTAAGATTGGAGGGAAAGTTACTCAGAATATGTGTGCTAAGCCTTCCATCAAATTTTTGCTATCACATTTTAGGAATGCGATCACAAAAATGGTTCTGTTGGACACATGCAGCCATGGGTTGCACATCCCTATATAAATGCTTTGGAAAGCAATAGTCAACATTTTGAGGGTATGAAAGTAACAAAAAAAATGGCATTAGCCTTATGGAGAAGTTTGCTTGCTTAAGTGAGGGCCAAAAGGAACCTTGTTTCTCACCTCTGGCTCAGATAAAAAGAGCTGGATTGAGGCCAAGAAGAACATATCTGGGAAGCTCAAGCTAAACAACTACATGGTTCTGCTAAACCCAGGAAGGGGATCCCAGATGTGCTCCTCTTGGCCTCAATCCAGCTCTTTTTATTTTAAACATTTTAAAGCTAATTATATGCTCATTATCTGTGGATGGACCACACATCATAAAAAAAGAATCATCAATGCCCAATATGAAGGCCATTGAATGGATGTCAATTTTTGCATGCATATAACTTTCTAGGACAGTAGCAAAAAAACAGAGACAAAGTAGAATGGAGCTGTATATTCCAAGAGTTAGATGTCTAATTGAAATTTTGCATTTTCTGCATTTTAAAGCTTGCTGTTTGGATTTAGACAGTCAAGATATGTGCCAAGCAATACGATGTGTGATAAGAATACTAGGAACTATAATAGAGCATGGGGTGGGTTGGTGTTGGCATGTCTTGAATTTATCTGCCAAACAATGTAGGCTGGTGACCCCCAGGGGGAGGGCCTTCTCTGGGGGGGCTCCTACCCTCTGGAATCAGTTGCCCCCTGAGATAAGGAGAATCCATGACCTCAATGCCTTCCGTCGTGCCCTTAAAACCCATCTTTTCCAGCAAGCTGGGCTGTCTTAAGAAGAAATTTTTAAATTCTTTTAATCAGTTTGTGACTTTTTAACTTTCGGGCCAAATTTATATATATTTTTAACTGTTTTTAATATTTGTATTCTATGTTCTTATCTTGGCTGTACACCACCCTGAGTCCTCAGGGAGAAGGGTGGTATATAAATTGGAAATTAAATTAAATTAAATTAAATTAAAATCCTTTTGTTAATACAACCAAGTGCAATGTTTCATCTGGAGAGAGAAACAGACACATATATACACACACATAGTTCATTTAAAAGACTCAGAGAATGAGAAATGTATTTGAATTTGTTTAAAAATTATTGTTTTGAGCATTACACATATTGGTAAGGTATAAATTTATTACATGGACTTACTAAACTTTCAATAACAACATTATTAAACATATATCTTAAAAGAAGTGTTAAATCTTTTAACAACTTTCCAAATATTTCCAATAATTTTCCAGTCAGATTGTGAAAGACTTCAAATCAGCAGTGACAATTTGAGCATCTCTCTCTCTCTCTCTCTCTCTCTCTCTCTCTCTCTCTCTCTCTCTCTCCCTCCCTCCCTCCCTCTCCCCCTCCCTTCCCACCCTCTCTCCTTGTCACCCTTCAATGAGTGACCTATATTTTTGGCATACAGCACTTTGTGGGTGATGGTGTTTGTTTGTTTTTTTTTAAATCAAAGTTATAAACTTCTGCTATGGCTACATTATCCAGCTACAAAGACTGAGCACAGCAGAACCATTAAGTGTCAAGTTATAACTGTATAAAATATAAGATGAGAAACTTGTCCTCCACCATCTAGTTTCCTTCAAGCATATTGGAAGAGCAACTTTCAGAGTTCCTATCTGGAATCAATACTGAAGAATGCCAAATTACACAAGACTGATTTAGATGGCACAGACCCTGGATGTTCCACATATTCAAAAATTATCACCATGAAAGAACCTTCACCAGTGTAAGTGAAGTGAATTGTAAGTTACCAAAGTCAGAATGGATGTGTGTAGAAAAGAAGCTGGTTGGAACCAATTTATACCCAACAAAATGCTGAGATGGCAATCAGATGAAATTGATTTAAAGTACATGAGGCACATTCATGGAACATATCCCTATTAATTCCCTTTATCAAGGCTACAGGAAGGGACTCCAGCTGGGTTCTGCCTCCTCACCATGAAAGGTATTAATCTATATCTCTGCTTGAGCACATACCCTCCATGTTTTCATTTTAAAGAAAATATGGACAATATGCCTAATAAATAACAATGCTATCTTATTTACCATCACAATTATTTTTAAAAAATGGTTTATATCATGTCCCTCATAGGGATTCCATGGGAAAGCATAAGCTAGCATGATATATTAAACAAAAGAGTAGCATCTGTACAAAGAACCTAATATAAATGTACAATTTTTACAATTAACACCCCCCCCATATATAACAAGTGACAATACAGGCAGTTCTTCTGTTCTTTTTAACCTATGGAATGTTGGAAATATATTATGCATGTTGTAGGGCTTTGTACTCTCTCTGCCTGATTTTCTGTCTATCAGAAGAATTATGTTCCAAAACCTGAACAAAATGGGACCAGAGAGGAGCAGGAGAAACTGACAAAAGAAATTCAGGGCTAAAAATGGACCAAATCATTTGGAAGGAAAATAAAATGCAGAAAAATTCCCCCAAGTGATCCTTAAGCATTCCTTGGGCCCATAGCTCAGAATGCTATGGTAGCCTCCATTCTAAGCCAGGTGACATGACCCAGAATAATTCACCTTGTGCTTTCCAGAACATCCACATATAAATGGACACAGATGCAATGTATTAATTTTGTTACACAGAAAATGCAGAGATATCCCACAGCCACTGCTTATAAAGAGGTCTGGAGGAATTCCAGAATCTATCTTCTGCACACTTTCCCTACTTTGTTAGTACTGATTTCTAACCTGTAGAGAAATAATCTTGATTTTTGAGCTGTTGAAGTGATAATGGACATAATTTTGTAATTCATCTTCTATAAGCTAATGCCTTTCACAAGTATTTGTCTTTATTAATTTCCAGTAAGCATGGAGGGTCTTAGGTGTGGAAGACTGTTGCATGCATGTAACAACTGCACGTATATCAATGGGGCTGTGATGGTCCCAGATTCTCAACTCGGATGCTCACAACAGCGTTTATTCTGTTACACGTATTCCTTCACTGTTTTCAAAAAGCAATTAATTCCCATACCGAAATGCTATCACCTGAAAAAGCAGTTCCAGACCATTTCAAGGAAATATATGTATATTTCCAATGTCATCCAAGTGTCAAGTCAACTCCATTTAGATGACCTCCCAGTTAGCAAAATTTCTCATAGTGGCAAAACAAAACATTTACCAATGCCTGCGGATGCTTCCCTTCTTCAATAGAAAAACGTGTAAAAGAATGCAGATTCCAAATTCAATCCAGCCTCACGGGTTTTATGTCTTTCGTATCACATTTCTGCTGATCTTCTGGCTCCAAATTAATGTTTACGTTGCCATTCATTAATTCCTGTACCATGTTGTGACTTTTTCTCTTGCAGCATTGGCAAAGTCTCCTAGAATTTTCTACTAAACTGATGCAGAGATTAATGATCAGGGCTAACCAAGCCAGCCCAAAGAGAATCCACAGAGATACCACGTTCTTATACCAGCCTGGGTAAGTACGCGTAGGATTCATGCCTGCAAAGAAGAAAAGTGATAGAGTCTTAACAGAGGCAGAAAGAAATGTAGAGTGCAATTTGAAAGATTCTTGGATAACAACAAAACGAAAGCTGTGCTTAAGCTATGGAAAACTCAAGAGTGGACAGGTCAGCAACCAAGCCAAAGAATATGTTGTCTTGTGAGTACAAAATAAACCCTGAGACAACTGCAGCTGAGAAGTATTGCTGTTGGTTCAAATGTTTGTGCACATTAAGTATTAAAACAAGTAACATAATTATTCACATAATTACAGCAACATGAATAGTTTTTGTCCAAAACTGGAAAAACAATGACATACCATCAGAAGACAAGGTGATTAGAAAAATTACGGAGTGTGCGGAAATGGATAAGCTCACAAAGGAGATACAAGAAAAAGATGAAACAGAATATTACTTAGTCTGGGAGAAATGGTATAAATGGTTGGAGAAGAAATGGGGGGGAGGGCAAAGGGAGACAAAAGAAAACTAAACAATGGTTAAATTAGATAGAGGAATATGGAAACAAATGGGAAGATATAAATTGTGGAAAGAAAATTAGATACCTGTTTATGTTAAATGTAAATAAAATATTTAGATTAGAGAATATATTATAATGGTATATATATGATATTATAGAAATATATGTGTAAAAGATATATTAAGATAAGAAAGAGAAAATGTATAAATATGGATTACTGATGCGAAGATGTTGAAAAGAAGAAGATGTAAATATCTGTTTTTGTTTGTTTGCTTTTTTGTTTATTCATTTGTTTGTTTTTTAAAAACTGTTTAATATTTTTTTTTTAAAAAAAGCAAGTAACAGACATCCTGTTATGTCAGCCTTGCAAAGTAAAACAGACTTGAACACCAAAATCATGAAACTAAATTTATTACAGTCTTACTGTAACAGAATCTTGCAACTCTGAATGTGCCTCCCCCTCCCTTCCTTTATTTTAAAGCGAATCTAGGAGGGTCCAATCTGAAATGCTTTCACACATTCCATTCCTGCTTTGGACTCAGATTTGTCTAAGCTGTTGCTTCTCCTCTTCTTCCTCAAGGTTATTTCTTTACCCCATTTATATGTTAAATGCATGGTTATATTTCAGGCTTTCCTGACTTCCAGAGGAGATCCAATACATCCTCATATGCTCTAGATAAAAAAAACATGCATTCTCTCCTTTTCTCCTAATGCCCTCTCTGTTTTGGGGGGGAGAGATAGCATCCATGACTAGGGATACATTCTTGCTGAGGGTTAGGGTTCATTCTCCGAGCTTCTGAGTTAGTTTCCAAATGTTTCATTACCAGGCTAGGTAACATCTTCAGCAGAATTTAGGAGGTGTCAGTGTTCTATTTATAAAGGCTTCAGGTGTGGGTGTGTCAAGTGAGAATCTTTGACGGTCTTATGATGGGTCATCAGTGAGTCATCAGTGAGGTCTTGTGATGGGTCTTGTGATAAAGAGATTACATCAGGTCAGGGACATTGGGAGGTGAACTGCTGGTGGAGGGGTTGCGTGGGTTAGTTGAGGGTCGGTGCTGTCTCTGGTTGGCTGTGCGGTTGATTTGGATTCTGAGGAGAGGGGACAACCAGCCTACAAATCCCACACCTGAAGCCCTTATAAACAGAAGAACACTGACATCCCGTAAACTCCACTGAACATGTTACCTGGTAATGAAATATTCGGAAACCAATCCACAAGCTCGGAGAACGAACCTCCACCCTCATCCTCCACCCGAGCTACAGATGTTCACCACTATTGCAAAAATACATTCATGCTGTCATCATAATAGCTATCCAGAGTGATTGCGAGTTGGGCAGCATACTTTTTTTTTTTTCTACAATAGTGACTACATTTATATTTTACATTGTCATCATTTGGTTTATTTGGTTCTGGTTTAGTTTGCAGTAAATCTAGCTACTGTGCTTTACATAACATAGTTTATGATACAGAACAGGCAATCAGTGCCATTTGTAGTTTAATGACAAGTCATGGTTAATAATATAATGGTTTAGTACAAAGAGTGACTCTTTTCATATCCTTTCTACAGAAACAAGATTACAACCATTTAAATAACTTGAAAAGTAAGGAACACCATTGGAGTGAAGTTAAAATAAGCTCCTGATGATATTATCATCAGCAGATCAATCCTGTTCCAGCCTACATATGTAATTCCAATTTAAGATTGTTTTTCTTCCACACAGTTGTGAAAGTGAGAGTAAAAGTTGAAAGTGCTTTTTAGAGGAGTCTGATGAGATTTCTATGCAGTGCTTACTATGTTTTACTTGTCTCATGTGGATGCAACTATCTATATTAGTTTTCATTGTATAATTGCTATTAGATTAGAATAAAAATGTCTACCAACCAAGTCCACATTCTAGAATTTTATGCATATCTTCCAATTTAAACAACCATTAAACCAAGTTGCTTTGCTATCAACATACAGTAAATGCATCCCAAATTGAATCAACATAAAATACCTCACACATCAGAATACTTTTAAACCATTTATTTCCTGTTGCATGAAGAAGGCACTTGTTTTCACACAACTGACCAGAAAATTAAGAACTTCCCTCAAAAAGGAAGGGTACCTCCACCCTTATCTGGAAAATTGAAATGAAAAACATTATCTCCCAAGTGAACTTTGTAAACAAGCACATAAAGGATCCTTTGCTGTTGAGAATTTCACATTCTCAAGAAGGACGTACCTTTTCATTGAAAAGACGCAAATGTTTGCACGTCAACCTTAAAATAGAATGAACTATGATTTTATTTATTGAACTTAAACCTGAGACGGCATGTTTTTTGTCCATGAACATGTTTTTCTTTGAGTTACTAGGAAACTTGTAAATCTACTCCCTACTTCACCCCTCGAACAAATAAAGTTTTAATAGGTATAAGGTACTTACCAATGACATAATCTCCAAAGCCTATTGTACTTAAAGTTATGAAGGAATAGTAGAATCCTTCCTCATAAGTCCAGCCTTCTATGGCAGTAAACAACAAAGGTGGTAACAAAAGAAATAATAAAAGGCCAGCACCCAGGGCACAGGTCCAGGTCAAGACAACTGCTCCTCTCTAGCAAGCAATAAAGAAACAAAAAATATAGGTTAGATCAGACAAGAAGCAGGATATAGATGACAACTTTCATTGAAGAAGATACTGGAAAAATGTTCATTGAATGAATCTGCAGCACAGGTATGTGATCCTATTAAATTTTTGAGGAGGTCAAGAGACAAATCTGCATTCTGCTGATGGAAGAATTATTCAGGACAGATTCATTCTTCAATGATCACCCAGTATAGTGCTGAAAGTTTCCTTCTTCCAGGGAAAATTTTCCTGAACAGATTTGGGAGACATTTGGAAGAGAAAAGCTCATTGCGTTAGAGTGCTTGCATAATACTGTGTTTAGCCCATTCAACATGGGCCAAAGAACATTTTGATTCAAGTTCAATGTGTACCATCTGAGCTTACTGATCTTTTTTTTGATGCAACATTCCAATTTCCTAAATGATGATTTAAGGTAAAGGTAATGGTTCCCCTCGCACATATGTGCTAGTTGTTCCCAACTCTAGGGGGCGGTGCTCATCTCCGTTTCAAAGCTAAAGAACCAGCGCTGTCCAAAGACTTCTCCATGGTCATGTGGCCGGCATGACTAAACACCAAAGGTGCACAGAACCCTGTTACCTTTCCACCAAAGGCGGTCCCTATTTTTTCTACTTGCATTTTTTACATGCTTTCGAACTGCTAGATTGGCAGAAGCTGGGACAAGTAATGGGAGCTCACCCCGTTATGCAGCACTAGGGATTCGAACCATTGAACTGCCAGCCTTTTGATCGACAAGCTCAGTGTCTTAGCCACTGAGCCACCATGTCCCTTAAATGATTATTTAGTTCAGCTAAAATGGAGATGTGAATTAAGTACAGTACTGATAGTTTTTATCTTTGCAGGTCAGTTTTCCTAGGCTTGCAAAATCAGTTTCACATGCTGAAAGGGGTTGCGGTTGGTTTATTCATGCAAATACTAGACTTCGATTTGAATCTGCTGAGTAAACCAACATTAGTCCATAGATTTCAGTTTCACACATTGTGAAAGATCAGGAATCCATGGAAAAGAGCAGGAAGAAAAATTATAATGACTATGATGTCAAAAAGTTGCAAAAAGTTTGAACTTTCTGGGTCTGAGTATCTTTCTGCTAAAAACATCAGAGCATTTGGGAAGGTCCTTGAATGATTCCTCTAAAACAGGGGTGTCAAACTCACGTCATCATCGTGGTGTCATGTGATGTATTGGGACTTTTCCTCCCTTTGCTAAACCGGGTGTGGGCATGGTCAGCATGTGATGCATCCGGCCCGCAGGGGGGGGGGTTGACAGCCTTGCTCTAAAGCCTGTCATGTGAAAAGGTGAACATACAGCCTTCCTCATAAAGCCATGTTCTCTTGTGTCAGCAGAGCAACCTTTTGCCTGTGTTTCCATGATTGCTGGGACTATATTGGTTACTTATGGAGAAAGGCTGGTGATGCGTTGTCTGGGTTTAAAAGAAGCCCTTTGATCCCTTCAAATTTTCTAGGTTTGGATTTGATCAGCCTTTGACTCAGTAACCTCAACTTTACAAACAAGAAGCTGAACATTCTTCTTCTCAAAGTTTTCCAGAGAAATTGAAAGCTGCTTAAGCTAAGTTTAAAAGATGATTAATAAGATATGACCACAAAAATGCATTGAAAGAAAATTCTCACAAATGAGACACCACCAGTTTTAGAGCAGAAATGTTTAAAATTCTCTAGCTTCTACTTGCATTAGCAAAACCACATTAAGCCTCAAAAATGGATATGTACACATGGTCCATTTCTTTCTCCATCAAGGTAAGAGGATCCTTCTGGATTTTTTCTGACCCCATGAATGTCTACACATTTGTAAGTTGAAAAGAATCATCCAAAGCATGTTTTCCATTGACTTAATACATTTTCACTAAGCATTTATAAACGTTAAAGTTCTGGATTATAATTCCTACCAACTAGAGGCAGTCATTGATGTAGAGAAAAAGCTTGAAATTGGGCTGTATCTGCTATTTCTCTGTGGAAGCTGAAGTTGATGCAGTAGTCAGTCCCAAGCAAAGCCTAGACTTGCACAATTTTTCAAGAATACCAAAAATGCTATTTTACCATTGCTATATTCAGGGAGGGAACAGGAGTGTGTATGTGCGTCATAATTTCTGGATACTTGGAGCTAGAGATAGTGGTAGATAACCTGAGGAATGTGAGGCTTGTCCAGACATAATATAAGAACAAAACATAGAAGGGGGAAGGCAAGTGATGATGAACCAACTTTTTGCTGACGGAAGACAGAAAACCGAAAGCAAAACCTGCTGTTTAATACTGACTTATTTGTCTGTGGAATTATGGCCAAATGCTTGTATTATATTTTGGTGAGGCCTCTTTTTTGCCTCACCAAATACATTTTATCTTAAGATGGGGCATTTCTGCACAAAACCAACAGGATTTGCATAATGGTTAATCACTGCAATGTAACAGCAACTCCAAAATGTCCTAAAGTATCTGGAAAGAAAAATCTTTCCCCATCTCTGCTCCACTATGCTAGCTAGTGAAATGTGAGTTAAAGGATGTTTTCACCCTCATGCCCTTGTTATGAACTCCCTAGAGGCATGCAACTGGCTATTGTGGAAACAGTCTACATAGTCTCTTCTTTTTCTCCATTTAAAAACATACTCCCAGGGCTTAAAACACTTTTTTTTAAAGTGTGCACTTATTATGCTTATTCATCTCTCTTACACAAAGTTTGTTATGGTCTTCCTGCTGTTTAAGATTGCAGACCCAGTAACTCCCTGGGGCTTGCTAGGTCTATAAACCTAAACAAACATATATAGAGAGATAAGTAAGCCTAATTTCATTCAATAGAAATTTGTTTCAAGTAAACACATTGAAATAGGATATTTAAACAAGAAGACAAGTAAAGATTTACATCTGAAGTTTGAAGGCTTTATTAAGAGGAACAACACAACGGAATGATATGAATATGTAGATAGCTTTTGTTGCTACACCATAGCGCTGCCTACAACAAATATAAATTAAAGCAGTTAAGTCAGTGGCATTTTCATTGACATTCTTGCTTTTGTAGAAAATGGCATGAGTAAATTGTCCATGCTGGCCCAAGTAACCCATAAGCATTTATTGTTTTAGTCTTGTTGTACAATGCTCAGAATTACTTGCTTGTGACATGGGTGGCTTAGATTAAATAAACAAATACGTAAGAATACCTAGATCTCTTACCTGCCACTGGAATTTCACATCCAGATAGAAGGCACATAGACGCACCCCAGAGAGCATCAGCTGTCCTATCCTATTCAGAAGAATGAGATTTAAGGGAATCCCAAAGAGGGCAAAGAAGATGCAGAACACTTGTGAAGCTACCGTATTGGGGCTCAAGTTGCCATACCCTGAAAGGAGAAGAATAAGGTTTGATCATTGGTATACCATGAATTAACATGATAATATAGCAGTAATCTATGCCCATGATATTTGGCAGAAATATTATCTGTAAGCTTTGCAGAAAGACTTTGCAGTATTTCAGCCAGGGGTGGGCTTCTGGGAGTTTGGCAGGGTTCAGGCGATCTTCTAGCCGAGGATCACCGGGGTTTGGCGAACCCCCAAATGCCACTCTTGGCTGGCCACGCCCATCCTTGCCTCCCTTCCCAGGAGTCTCCACGCGGCCCGTTCATCATTCCAGGTAAGAGCAGGGGCCGTATGGAGGGTCTAGGAGGGCAAAAAATGGGCCTACCAGAGGTTCCAGAAGTCCAGAAACAGACCTGTTTCTGGCCTCCAGAGGACCTCCGGACCCTGGGGGAAGCTGTTTTCGCCCTCCTGGAGGCTCAAGGAAAGCCTCTGGAGCGTGGGGAGGGTGAAAAATGCCCCCCTGCCATGGTGCAGGCAACCGACTAGGCCATGCCCACCATGGCCACACACACCCAGCAATGGGCAGCGAACCTGTTGCTAAAGGATCTGAAGCCCACCCCTGATTTCAGCACATGTTAAACATAAGGGGGAAAATGAGAAGCCAAACAGTAAAAGCCAAGATCAATCAGAAGGTTCTCATACATGAAAAAAGAGTAGTTATATGGAATAAATATTCTAATATTAGGATTAGAAACGAGATGAAACATGCTTTACATTAGTAAATGTAAGTAGAAGTACCATGTTACTTCTATTACCAGCTCTATTTAAACAAACACAATGAACAACAATTAATGGTTAAATACTACCAGTATAAACAAACAAACAAACAAACAACAAACAAACCTATTCTCCAAAGCACCTGAAGGCAAGAGAAGAAGCAATGGATGGAAACTAATCAAGGAGAACCAATCTAAAACTAAGGAGAAATTTCTTGACAGTGAGAACAATTAACCAGTGGAATTACTTGCCTCCATATGGAGTGAGTGCTCTATCACTGGAGGATTTCGAAGAAGACTGGACAATTGTTTATCTAAAATGATACAGGAGCTCCTGCTCGAATAGGGAGTTGGACTAGAAGGGCCTCCAAAGTATTCTATTACTAAGGAACATCTATTTACAATTATTGATGGCTCTGAACCTGATCCTAGTATGAGAGGATTCATTTAGGCAAAGTTCGCTTAGTCTTATCCACCTGATACTAAACCATAGTTTTGTATTACATGGAAATACAACTTCTATTAGTATAAATCTCTCTCAAATCAGTCACCACTGAGTTTCTAGTCTTCTTCAAGCTGGTTTCCTACAGTTGTTGAAAGTAGCTGGATACCCGTGCTTTGTTACGAAACTATGTGATGAGGCTTGATAAATTGACACTTACAACTTGAAACTTAATGAGTAAGATCAGCCTGTCCTCTCTCCTTTTCTCCCTCAGCCTTGCCCCACAGAAGCCTATCCTATCCTATCCCCCTTCTCTCCCTCAGCCTTGCTCCATAGAAGCCTCCCCTATCCTATCCCCTTCTCTCCCCATATCTTAATTATATGACTGGGAGCCACCTTGATTTGCCTTAGTGCAATGTATGACATAGAAATTTAATAATAAATAGATAAAATAAATAGGCTTCCACAGACTCTAGGGTATTTACTCAATTTACTCTAGAGTAAATTGATATTAAACTTGAAAGATGTAGCCTACTGAGAATCATTATGTAGTTTGCCCTCAACTACCAGGATATTTTTTTCCCAAAGGTCTCCATGTAAGTGACAAGTTATAAGTAATCCATTTAAAACAGAGACTGAAGGCAAAGCAAAGGCCCAAAAATCACAATATGCAATATAATCCTAATTATTTCTGACAATCTAAACCATTTGGCTTAATGGCATGCTATTTATTCTTGTCAATTCTGAAAATTGTTACAACAGGAACAGGCACTTATGAATTGGTAAAACAGTATTTGCCAGATGTTCATAAAATCATTGAAGGGGCCTCCATTTAAAAAAAATAGATTTCCTTTTATTAATCAAACTTACAGGTTTATGTTTCAAAAGAAAAAATGGGTAGCATTTCTACTTTAGAATTCTTAGAATCCTTAGTAGCTGAATTCTTTGAAATCAGGTCTATTCTTGAAAGTGGTGTGCTACAGAAAGAAGCAATAGTAGAAGATTAAAATAAAAATAAAAATAATGCTTTGTATAAGTACTGATTTGAGAATAGTTTGGGATGAAAATAAAGCTTTCATTAGAGGTTATTTTATACAATGGTGACATCAAAAAGGAGAGGCAAGAGAAAACAAGCTATTTTGGATGATAGGGAAAAGAAAAATTACAGAATGGAAATAAGACTTCTTTGATCAGAGAAAAGATTCCTATAGATGCCTTATTTTAGAATGCTAGTTTTCATGATTGTATTCTTCTCTATACCACAAACTCCAGTGGAAGGGGAAAAGTTGTGCCGGGTTATAGCCTAGTCTCATCCAAGTTGCTAGATTTACTTGTAATGTGAAGCAACGCAGTCTAAACAAGATTTTACTACCAATTTCCACCTGTGGCCCAATAACATTTAGTTCCATTTTTAACGTCCTGAAAGTATTTTAAATGAAGCTCTCTAGAAGGGTGAAATTCAGAAGGTCTGTACTACTACACCACAAATATGATTTTCTTTGATCAGTTCCGTTTATATTGGCATGCACTTTTGTTAGCACAAGGGGTGAAGATAGTAAGCTCTGTACTAAAAGCACAATTATGACATCAATCCACAATGCACAAATAGAAGCTGTTCTAAAATTGGATTATGTGGGGAAAGGATATGGTGTACTTAGAAAAGCAGTTTTAAAAGCAGCCTAAGGATGCAAAAAGAAGATACATAGAAGATCCCATAGCTCAGACAAATATAATCAACCTATTCTCCAAAGCACCTGAAGGCAGAACAAGAAGCAATGGAAGAAATTAATCAAGGAGAGAATCAACCTAGAACTAAGGAGAAATTTCATGACAGAACAATTAGTCAGTAGGACGGCTTGCCTCCAGAAGTTATAGATGCTCCAACATTCAAAGTTTTTAAGAAAAGATTGGACAGCCATTTGTTTGAAATGGTATAGTGTCTCCTGCTCGAATAGAGGATTGGATTAGAAGGACCTCCAAGGTCCCTTCCAATTCTGTCATTCTAATCTCTTGTTTGAAAGAAAATCAAAGTTGTGATTGTAGTATCATTGGATATTATAATTTCATTTTCTTTCAAACAAGAGATTAGAATGACACTAAAAATCCTAAGTATCTTTTCCCTTCTGTTTATCTCCAGTTTTAAGAGTCAGGCGGAGAATAGAGCAATAGAACCTACACTTACACAAAACTAGTGATCTAATTTGGAATTTTTTATGCAAAAAGCTCTTAAAAGTTAGGCTAGACAATAGCTACCAATGTTTTATTCCTCTCTCACTGAAGTGCAGCACTCGAAATGGCTGTCTTGGAACTTTTGCAGATATTTATTTAGTACCTCTTGGTGAAGAATATTAAATTATTGAATTTCAATTTTATTAAAGTGTTGAGTTGTGTTACCTGTAGTTTGTATCAATGAAATGAAACATTTATTCTAGTACATATGTTAATTTGCTTGCAATGACCAGAATCTTTGAATTTATCACCAACACTTATTGAATAAGCCACATAAAGATTTTCTATATATTTAGATTCTATTCCTAAAGTCTTGGGATGTCAACCTGAGGCCATTGGAATTTTCCTCAAGAATGGTGAAAAGGTGGGGGGGGGAGACTATAAATTTATTCTATATAGATATAGATGGATTCATAATCAATGTTTCTTGGGAGTTATCTGATGTTGGATAGTTCTGGTGGCACTCTGAAATACAATATGAATTTAGAAGAAGTAAAAGCCCTTCCATATTCCCTTTCATCATTTGCTCATTTCTATTTAAGGGATAAAAACAAGCAAACAAACAGAAAAGCAAAAAGATATCTTCCTTTCTGTTCTGCCACCAGAAGCTGTACATTATTTTAGAAAAAGCAGTTATTCTACCTTTGGATTTTCTCCACGACCAGCTCAAATGTAATTGTCACAGTCTGCCCTACTTCAAATATTTTCCTTTTGTGATCAATTATTTGCCTTTGTTATCAAGAGTGATCCAATTTTCATTCTGCAAGACTGGTTGAATTATGATCATGGAATGGGAAGCTTGTGGCATGATGAACTTGGAAATAACTGTGAATTCAGATATATAGTGAGCAAAACAAAATCTAAACAAAAGAATTGAAAAGTGATCTTTAGCACTACGAAGGGATGCAAAAAAAACATCTTTCTAGTCAATTACATAAACCCTAGTTACACAACTGAGTAACTGAAAGCTTTTCCAATTTGATCAATGAAGTATTCAATATGGTATTTTGGACTCCTTGTTTTAACAGCCTATTGTTCCATAAAGTTAACGCATGGTGTCAGCTGATTCTGAAAGAATAAGTTGTTTATCGGGGAAGACTGAATCTACAAAGTGGTCGTGGTCGATTTGCAAGACAAATATAAGCCAACTACTGTATGAGTTGGCATTTTTGCTTCTGATGTATAACTTTGAAAAAGTTGAAAAAAGAGGCTATGTAGGTAAGATTAATGTTTGAACATGTTCAAATATGACAGAGAGCAGAGCATACGAAAGAACCATTTTTTTAAAACTAAGCCAAGTCACAAACTAGATTCATATATACTAAACCATGGTTTAACAGAAGTTTATCACATATATACTATAATTGACTGGGTCTGCAGAACACACTAAACTAATTTTAAGCTATCTTCCAAGGTACACCAACATTTCTTGAACAGCTCTAAGATATTCTGCAAGTACCTTCAAAGTCACTATAGGCTTTACTATCTTCTTCAGAATCTCTTTGTGAAAAATGGATTAGAAGTACAGTTGACATACTTACTGCAGCCAAGGACCCATTCTGAAATAGAGGGTAACATGAAGCTTAAGTTTGCTTAA